GATGTAGTCCGGCTCCTTTATCCGGCGTAGACAACAGTACCTTATCGTTTCGCTTGAGTTCTTTAAGGGCGTCTAGATGTTCCTGCTTCAATAGATGCTTGGTACACGGTTTATAAGTTAGGTACTCGTAACATGTGTTAACCAGCGTTGATTTATACTGCTCGGCTGCTAAGGCTGAGGACGGCGAAAGTGTAGCTACTTGGGAATAGAGATTCTCAAATTGGACATCTAAATCTAGCTGTTTAACATAGTTTCGTGGACAACAGAATTTCGGGCCGAGTGAAAGAGCTTCAAGTAAAACCTTGTCTAATGGTACTGAGGAGAAATTGCTCGCGTCGAGCAAGGTATATTGGGAAAACGACCAGGCGACTGTCCGTTAGGGCTCGAGAGCATTGCCCAGCTTGGCTCTACAGCGGCGTGAGGAAGAATGTAACGAGTGCAGTATTGTCGCACCTAGTTGACTCCGATCATCAAATCGATTCGCGTGACGCATTCACACCGATTTACTGTGTCCCCGGACGTTTCACACGGGCAGTCAGATGTCGCCTGCTGTCGACAGCAGAGGCGATCGCAATTCGGCTCCATAACCCGGACCTATGTGCACAGAAAAAGCTCGTCCACACTTTAGCCTTGCCTTGGCCTGAGATCAACGCGACTAACAATGGCAGTCACGCCACTTCACTTGACCAATCAGACCAAACACGTAGACTTATCGATTAGTTACTCTGTTTCAGTGACTCAATTTAAACCATCGTGTCTATTCTAACCTTTGGGATTGAAGATTAGATCACGAGCCATATAGCAAAAGCTGGAAGTGCTTTTGCTAGTCTTTGCCTCTTATGGCACCGGAGCGACATTACGCTCGCCCGGAAGGGTAGAGTGTTCAATGCAGCGGTACGTTCGACCCTACTGTACGGTTGTGAAACCTGGCCCATTAGATCAGCGGACATAAAGAAGCTAGTTACGTTCGGACACCGGTGCCTTCGCAACTTAGCTCACATCTGGTGGGAACACCGCGTGAGCAACGAGCGTGTTCGACGCCTTATTTACGGCACAGGAAAAGGAAATGTACCGCTCAGCAGCGTTATTTCACGTACCAGGCTCCGATGGTTCGTCCACCTGTTAAGTATGCCAACCCACCGGCTCCCGCGACGTGCGTTGTTTGCGCGCTGGGGGTGTTGAAGGGAGGGGTCACCAAGCGATGACTTGGTCGAGGGGAATGTGGTCCCTCACTTCGAAGCTGGCCTCGGTTGGAGCGTTTCGGCTCCCTAGTTGGGGTTCGAACGACGATAAACACATTTGGCTGGATACACTTACTGATATGGCTAGTAGCCGATCTCAGTGGCGTTCCTGCTGTGAGTTTCTTTTCCCTCTCCATCCCTTTTAGCCTTCCCTCCAACCGCTCTCTCATTTCGTAGCGTAATATAATTTTACATCATAATTTTTCTTGTTGCCTAGTAGCCGGCAGATAGCTTACCGGAACGATGCCCATCCGTTGCTGGCAGCTCAGCTGGCATGCAACGGTTTTGTTTATTTTCTTTTTTCTTTTATGTATTGCGGCACAGTAGTTGAAGTGTTTCCCGCTAGCTAAGGTGAATAATGATGTTGATGAGAAGTGCTACTACCTCATGCTTGAAGGACAGGTTTAGGAGGTAGCGAATTGATTTGGCGATATCTTTGCTATGATCCAATATTGCGCTGGTGGTTGTTAATACTCTCATTCGGCTTGGTAGACAGGCAGATAAAGTCCTCGATCTGGGTTATTTGAAAATGGTCAAACTGTTGGTATTAGGACACATCCACCATGTTGCCTAATCGAGCAGTTGCCTCCATATAGGAGATTATTGATACTGCAAATTCCATATCACGTGTATCGTCTCAGGGTTTGTGTATTGCGGTAAGAGGCTTACCAAGTACATTTCGCTTGTCAATACAAGTGCTGTTCTCAGTTTGACAAGTCTTTATCGCAGTTGTATGGAATATTTTTGCCGTTCTTAGTAGTCAACTTTCTGTTATTATATTTGTTTTACTGCAAAACATTTTGCTTTTGACTCAAATGTTTCTTCGCTTTTGTGTCTAAAGCGAAACGTTGTGCAGTATAACAAACATGTTGACTGATTGTCTACCATGGCTTCTGAGGTGATGACTTCCCGATCGTGGAGCTGTTCGCCTGTGCAGGCTCGTCCTTTGGAAACCTTTGCCTGCCAACAAGCTTGCACTCGCGAACAGCATACTAACTTCATGAATGCCTTAGAAGGAACGTGCTGCAGGTAAGTACAAACCAGAAACCGGTGTTAAACTATCTCGCCACCTGGAATTTAGCACAACAATACGGGGGACGCATGGTCAAACTGTTGCTAACAGATGCCCACAACCGACTACGCAAACATGAGTAAGTCATAACCGACGATAGAAGCGATTCCCTCAGTACCATTGCTCCACAACTACGAGCAGCGCTGGAATCCGCAATTGAACGTCGAGTCAAAAGCACAAAGAACCGACGCAAGATTTCATTGAACACAAAGTTAGACAAACTGGCTAAGTGAAATGACTGCACTAGCAGTAATGAGTGAATCAAAACTCTTTCCCGCTGCCACCTCACTGTAACTGAAGAGGATGTCTTGACTAAGGGGCTTAACTTCAACATCAAAGATGATTGCCCCAAAGACTACTTGGCTAGCTTAAAACACGCATTGAAATCAAATGGACTGTCGGAGGAGTCCCAGCAACGACAGAGCGTTGTCCCAGTGCTTACTCGGAATAAATTCACCCAGACCCTAGCCAAGGAGGAACAGGATGCTCTCAGACGTCTACAGAAAGACGAGAACATTGTATTCCTACCAGCGGATAAAGGGCGCATGCCAGTGGTAATGGACAAACCTGATTATATTGACAAGCTCAAAGAACTGCTATCCGACACAACTCCATATCACCAGATCGATCAAAATCCAAGTGCAAATTGGTCAACCAGATCAACGCAACACTCAAGAAAATACAAGGATAGAACGAACTCAACGAAACGGAGAGATGGAGAATGAAAGCTGATGATACAAAAATTACACTGTTCTATGGACTATCAAAAATACACAAGGATGGAGTCCCACTATAGCCAATCGTCTCGCTCCCCGGAACCCTATCACATAAACTAGCCAAGGACTTGTGAAGGAGGTTGAAACATTTGGTTGCCCGATCCGAACATAGCATCAACAATGCTGAACGATTCCTCAACAAACTGCGGAGTGTCAGAATAGAGGACGATGAAATAATGCTTTCATTCGACGTCACCGCACACTTCAATTCAATCGGTCACGAATTGGCCAAAGAAACCATGATGGAACTACTTGAGAATCAACTAAGCCCAACGACAACCATATGACCTGAAAGTTTTTGGGTACTCCTGAATCTTTGCATGACCACTTTTCTCCGCTTTGATGGACAAGTGTACCAGCAGCCGAGAGGAACATCCATGGGATCACCAATTTCGGAGCTCATTGCAGAAGCCGTAATGCAGAAATTGGAGCGTATTGCACTGCCATCTATCAGCCCAAAACTGGATACGATACGTGAACGACACATTTGTCATCGTAAAACGAAGCAGAGTGCAGACCGGGTTCCTGTTACAAGTGAGATGCTTACAAGTTAGGCGTTTCTGCGAAGCGCAAAGAGAGTGTCAGGTGTGCGCAAACCAGGGCATGATCGTAACACAGTTGCGTACTCCAGATTGATCGACAGACTTGTACTAATCTGCGTCATCTGTAGCTGATGGCAATATGGTCAGTTTGGGTCGAGGTCATCGAGGAACTTGATGAGCGTCAACTAACGTAGTGTAAACGTTTATGCTGGTAAGCAATCCCGATAATGTTAACATTATGATCGGCAGGAATCGGTCGCCATTGTCTGTTCAGCGTGTATCGATCCAGAAGCAGCCTCCCAAATGCTGTTAAGATTTTGGAAGGCGACCCACTTGGTCATTAATGTCACCAGCATCAATCACCATGTCAATATTTCCATCATACGGATAGGAGGTGAGAGCTGACGACAGAGATCGTCTTCGATACATTCTGAACTGCAGCCAGTGCGAGCATAAACGGAAGCAATGAAAGTGCGCCTTGTCTCCAGTCGGTGCTAAGTAACCTCATTGGAAGCTGGAATATGAATCACGCACAAGCGGCTGTACGGTGATTGATATCGAGTCGAGTAGATTGTCTTTCAGTAATTTTGTCGAGAGCGATACCGACAGCATAAATATCTTGAGCTATTTACTCCGTATCGTCAGAGATGCGAATAGTGTAGACACTGTAGACAGATTCAGAAGCATGGAATCCAAACTTCGTCACGGTGCTGTTATATTGTGTGCGTGTTTTGGTTGCACAACACAGCTTTACCCGCATCCATCTAGAGCTATCTGACAAACCATCGAGCACTGCTCAGTGCTCTTCCGCGGTCATAGTCCACATGAAGCTTGCGTTCTATTGCAATCGTACTGTGAGCTTATATCCCGTTGATCGATTGTTTCCCATGTGTACGTTTTAAAAACAGGTAGGCATTGGCCTATCCAACCTCCTAATACAATTGTGAGCATGGGTTAATTTCACCCTTTGCCCTTGACATACCTGTTGTGAATGATTCCGGATACGCTTGAAAAGTACCACGCAGCGTAGTTTATCAATCCACTATGATATGCGAACCATCGCACCATGTTGATGTCCAGTTTCCTTGTTATTGGGATTCCATTACCATTTCTTCCGCCATCAGGATTGCGGAATTCTTGTAAGTCAGTGTCTTGTCTTGTAATTCAGAGGCTACCGGTTCGAATCCTTGTTGGCGGGATTACTAGTCCACGCGCGACCTACGGTGGTCACGTGGCAGCGAAGCATCAACGCCTTGTGCCAGCATACTCCTGATGCTTTTTGTATTCCTGTAGTGATCCGCGTGCATTTTCGCATCATATTCGCCACGTATATGTGCAGCTTACTACCCTTTGGCGCATTTCATTGCAGCTACTTCTTCAACGAATTTCGGAGTTGAACGAGTTAACTCAGAGGAAATGTATCTTGGCGGATGAAGCTGACTGGAACAGCATCGAGCTTTGTCGGGTCAACCGATTGTTAACCGCCGAGATGGAAGTGGACAAGAAGAAGATTGGTCGGTAATAACTGAGTTTGTCTAACTGGTCACACTTTTCTGTCTTGCGTCTTTTTTGCTTGCAGACTTGTGCGTTCGTTGTTCAGGACACTTTGTGCAATATGTGAACCAGTTGAATCGCATAGTGTATACTAATTTCACAATCCTCTCACAGTTTCTTACATCTATTCAAATGCGGTTTCTGGTATACTGTTTAAATTAAGAGCGAACCATTTTGTGCATAATGTTCGAAGCACACACCAGCGTAAACAGCGTACTGTTCGCTTTAGTGACACAATCTCACTTCATGTCTATCAACTGCTGCTCCGCTTGCACAACTTAGTCTTTTTTCCGGAAATTTTTTCACTACCAAAACACAGATCGCACACTGACGGAATCACTAACTAGTGCTCTTTTCTTACGTGTGACTCAGTACACAACATTTAGCATTTTTATCCTCGATCAAAACGGGTTGTTAGAGTTGAGCATATTGGGGTTTCTGCTGTTGCACAGGCAGGTGTATGGTATTTTATCGTTGTGCTTACTGCCTTGCTTCGGTATTGTTTGACACTTCGTCTTTTTTTCGGCCATGCTTTCCATACACTTGATAGCGCATTTTGCAACATCTTCAATCACCAGGAACGGTTGGTGCTGCCGGTGTTCTTTACATTGAAACTTTTGGTGAAGGACAACACCAATATTCACATTAGTTTACCTTTGCTAATTTTTAACGGACGGTATTACCATTTCTTCTGATTGGATTCCCTGTCGCATTGACGAGACCGAGCTGACTACCATTCATTGGTTCCTACTTGTCATCTGCGACGTTAGCGATGTCCGATACGGTGTACACTCGAAGGTGATCGTTCCGTCGCAGTAAGACTGAAATGCAACGTGGCGCGGTGGTTTAAGCGCCTGTGCCAGCTGCTGAGCTTCCTTAGGTAGGATTTCCCCAGTTGCTATTAGGCACACGTTACAGACGAGTCTGTGGACACAACTCAGATGAACGGCCTCGACTGCGTCTTACACTCGGTTATAGGAGACAATCTTACAAGGCGTACCTCACTTCCAACGGCGTAGCGCACGAGATCCACACGTGCCGCAGATCGATCAAATCTGTGTACCTCCACTTACAGAACACCTTTGATTGAATCGACTGTACCGGTACCTTCGATATGCCTGTCTGAAATTGGGATTCTATGCAGTATGTGAACACTTCACATACCATATAAATCGAACGCTTCCGGCTGCGTCTAGATCTACGACATCTTTCCCCCAGCACCATCGTGGTCAAACTGCATTGCGGTAGTCCGCGTACTTGGATCCACTATTGTTATATTAATCAACACTTGGTCAATTTGCAGAGTGCCGCAGCACATGGGAAACAACAACGAAAAGGGAAAACAAGAAGTCCGTAGAAGGTTTAGGTGAGTTTATGTGTTGTCTGGATCCACTGAACCATACTGGTTAGTTCTCTCAGGCATCTTGGAGATACTCCTACTGGACGTCGGCTAAAATAAGTCTCCTGGTCTTTTAAGATTGTAGCTTGAGGTGGAGTGGTACTCGTTTCTGTACAACTGGCCCATCTTGCGCACTGCCTCTACTAGCAATGGGACTTTAACTGAGGAAGCTGTTTTTCGCCTACCTACGTCTGTACGCCCCGGCAATATTCTATCCTACACATAATCGTGAATAGCTCATAAGAGTTCAATATCATTCTAAATTGACCATCGCGCAGTTTCTAGTATCTACAGCGCAGTAGATAGGCGGAAGCAAACTGCTGCTAATTTCTTTCGGTTGCAGTTGCTAACCTTCCCCTCATTATTCAAATCGAGTGTGGTGCATCTACAGTTTCCCCTTTTCTACTACTACAGCCATGTCACCACAGTGCTGACTTGTCACACGCTGCGTTCAAACTTTATACTTTAAGGTAGATCCGTCAACAGGCTGCATCTGCGCGCACACTGGATTCCTCTGGAGACGACAGTTTCCATCTCCAAAATTCCAGTCTACCACTCTCACGTGACTATGGAACTGCACCCAGGCTGTCCTCTTTCTGTTATTTTACCATCCTGATATGCTGTTGCAGCGTTCACAGCTGGAGTTGGAATTAACATCATTCTCTGTTTCAACGCTGATTTATGGTTGGCTGATTGGACTCCCGCGAACAATCGTCGGTGTGCGGCCCTTTTGATGAAATTAATTTAGGTCAGTGCATAGAGCGGCGCTAGTTGTTCATGGTCTCCAGATGCACGCAAACTGATTGCATTTCTGACTCTGCCTAAGGCGCTTTTACTGCGAGCCTAGCGCGGGATTACGTAGATCTGCCAACCATGATCCAGACCTATCTGTCGCAGGTACGAATGCATAAGGAATCAATATGAACTCATCCGAAAGTTAATCAGCTGGGAATGGCGCTCCTTTACTTCGAGCGTACAGGCAACAGCCATCGTCCATTAAAACTGTACACCGATTATCCTCAGCTTATAAGCAGTGCAACGGGTACCGATCTACAACATGGCACCCCCGGACAGCTGGCTTTCGATAAACCAACACTGGTTACATCGCAAATGCATTAAGCGGCGCGATGCCTTACTTCAGTCACCCGTATAAAAACAAGCCTTGGCTTTGAACTTGCGTTGGCACATCGAGCGGCTCCGTCGAATTTTTCACGCTCCAGAGGACATGGATGTTCGTTGGAATAGGCGATCAATTGTATTGAGTCAGATAGAGCCCTCTGTTTAAGGCACTAGATCTCGGAGAGGTCAGTGAACCCTACTGCTTTCCGGAGCCGGTGTTCGTGTTTGGACCGAGCGCATGGCAGATAGTCTGTCATGTCAAGCTAGGTCAGGGTCCGCTAGCTGTCGATTTAGAAGGTGGCTGTGTTAGCTTCTGCGGGCTCCTCCAGCTTTTTTTCCCCGCTGGTCGCGCTTGCAAGCGAAGCGTCGGCCGAGCATTGTCACCGCAACTCACCATTAAGATCCTTACCTACATTGATTTGTAATGCACTATGATGAACTGTTTAGCCGGCCTCCTGCTTCTAAGTATACACGTGTTCTTGTTTCGGAGGTTGGATCACGGCCATTTAACCTATAGGCTGCAACTGAATCTGTGCTTCTAAAGGCTGTTATAGCCGTCAGACCTCTGTACGCTGTTGATCGTGAGTCTTTCTTTTTGGATTCCTGTGAGGCCCTCTACAAGGCATCGGTTTTATGCTTGTTTGGATTCCGCGGGTGATGAGTGCAATTGATTACGAAGCGGTCGTGGAGTGCAAACGTCAGAAGAAATAGGAAGGAAAGGCCCCAGTAGTACGCCGGTACGCTGTGCCTACCCTTCGTTGCCACGAAATCACAACGAGTCGCGCCTGGGCTGTGGGTACTGCGAGGGTCGCCAGGTCCCCTGCGCAGGCTGGAACCAGTGACGTTCGGGTCTATCTGATTCAGATAACATCCTAATAACCAAATCGATCGAGTTTTATTTCATTTCATACTGTCTTGGAAACAAACGATTAGTGTATTTGTTAGACAGTGTTACTTTTGACAGAAAACCTTCACGTGAACTAACGTAATGTGACCTGTTGTCGTAGGTGTGGCAAGCTTTGCATCAAATTATCTGTCAGAAGGTAATTACGGGTAGTTGTCGACCTGTCGTCTCAAGTGGTCCAGTGAGAATAAATCGTTCACAAATAACCGACTGATTGCACGATGCGTGAAATGTTTGCTCGGTTTATCAGATCACTTGGATTCCATCAGAATCTAAAATAAACTCATTGCTAACCAATATGTGTTACTAGAAAGTAACCATTTCTTACCATCACTTCGTTTTCTCCATTTTTGGACCCCTTGTTCCATCTGCCTTTTTCCCTCCACACCAGTAGAGTGCGAGGTCTGGTCATTTTTGCCTATCTTTCACCTTATTATCGTTTCTGTTACTGTATCTCCACTTTGCCTATTATGCGAGCTAAACGTAACAACCATGGTCTTAAGTCTGTGAAAACAGCTACGACTACCAAAGTGTCAGCACCAAAGGTGCACTCAACATTGATGAAGGGGTGCAAAACCGTCCTTCCTGATCAGTTGTCTGATGCGCTTGCTAAAATTAACTTCCTTGAAAACGAAGTGAATACCCTAAAGAATGAACTGGTCTCCATTGCTGGAACTTTTGCAAATATGATGCCACACGTTCAGCTGTCGGATGTCTGCAAATCCGATAGTCCCATTGAGTTGAAAGCCGCCAGTGAACTCCTCGCGACTATTACCAACGAAGTAAGTGAGCACAGTTACCGTGCCTACAATGTGGTCCTCTTCAACGTTCCGGACCGGGCGTTTCTTGACAGAGTAAAGAAGATATTGTTAGGCTTGGATAATTTACCATTGGACAATTGCACCTGTAAGCGACTGAGGAAGAAGACCTCGGGGCGAACCTGCCCCATCGTCTTTACTCTTAAAAGCCGAGATTTAGCCAAGACATTTTCGGACAGTAGGTTTAACTGGTAAGCCTAGTAGAACCTTGGCCAGATCATAAGGCGCCTCTACAAAGAGCTATTCTATCTTCAACTACGGCTCTTGTCATGCAAAATAAATGCTCCGTGCCACAGATTACAAGTTCTACAAGCTTAGCCATAATGCTAAATGTAGACCTAGACTCGTCCCCCACGCAGGTAATTTCGGCCACAAGAAAGCATAAAGCTGCGTCGCGAACGACAGTGAAGGCCGTCTACGACCCTGCTAAGTTCCTACTACTTCTTGATAATGTTTCTATTAATGCGACCACAATCGTTGCTCAAAACAGAAACCCTGACATGCAGGATGCAGACAGTGAGCTTGAGATCGATAGCGCCCTGCTCCATGCTGCTACAGGCTCTCATGTTGTTCAACTACAATATTCTCCTCCATCCACCTATTCGCCGCAGGTAAAATGGTTACCTAAAGACGCAAGACATCCCTGACCCCACATCCTCAAAGCCACAATCGTCGCCTTCCCGATGACAATCGCCCGTGCATCCAAAAAGAGACATCTACGAAG